GCGCGCGCTTCCAGGATCGAATCCTTATGGTGCAACACTACATGATCGCGAAAATGCAACCTCGATCGCCTGCACGACAATCGGGGTTGTATTTTTATTTAGGTACCATCTCCTCCGGAGGCTCTTTAACTTAATTTTTTTAAGTAATTCTTCAAGTAGGGGGATTATTTTGTTTCGTATTAGCATTGGTGGTGGCTAATATTCTTCGACGTTTAACAGTGTGTCTCTTCGGACACTTGTCAGCTCGGAACCGATTCTCGTGGGAGAGCTGATTTTACAACCTTCCCCGCATGACGATAGCAGTTTCGCCCGACCCCACGAACGAGTCGGGCAGCACTTCCACATGACTCTAACTTATGCTTTTCGAGCCCTTGGAGGATATGAGCATTTTAAATGATTTATAAATGTACTATAAATAAATTGTGTGAATGCGACTTGTTTGAATGTTTACATGTTATGTGAATTGGACTGAGAGAGGTAACGTAGCTAGAAAAGAAACACATTTTTTTACAATATTTTAGCTCTCTCAATCCTCTCCATTGTTTTTGTATATTTAATTAAATTAACAGAGAAAATAAAATGTTTGTGGTATGTAGAGAATTGCAGGATACAAAATGATGTAAGAGAGAATGCAAAAATTGCCAAATGATTTGTGCTGTATTTAATTCCTGTCAATATTGAGCATAGTAAAATGCTAAAAACAGGAGTAGTAAGTAATAGCATTGACTACCTGTTTGCTTTATATATTAATATTTATTAAGTGGATTTTAAAAAGACTGCCTGATTGGCTTTAAAAAAGCTTTGAATATTTACGAAAACCTGAGCTTCAAGGCTGACATAATATTTGAAATCCAATGAGCATGATTTCTATAGTCATACCACCTCAAATTGAAGGGAGCTTTTCTTGTTCATAGTTACCATATGCACAGAACAATCGCTATGTATCTTGTGACAGGTCATTGTGAAATGGCTTTAATTCAAAAGCAGATTCTAGGAACATACATATTTTTAGTCAAAATTTTAGTTTTGTATTATTACGTGTTAGAGTATTTCATGTTGAATAGTTTTGATTTTCCTTATCAAAAAAGGTTTAAATAGTACTATATTTGCTGGCATTTAAGGCATGCTTCTCAAATTCAAATGATTTTTTTTTTTTTGAAAAAAGGATGTCTTAAATGTCTGTAAATATAATTAACTATTTTATTGTAATCAAATTCTGTAGAATATGCCTAGTTTTCAAAATCTGACAATAATTTAAAATGTTCTCTAGAAAACCAGGCACATTCTATACAACACTGTTTTTGAGTTGGAATCATTTCACACTGAGCTGTAGACTGCTGGTGTGCATTCACATAGGGAAAAGGAAAAGGGCTCTTGGGCGTTACTCAGGAATGCCACTAACATAAGCACATTTGATAGTAGGGTTGCAAATATTTGGAACAAAATGTGCTCTGTTAGTCACTCCAGAGTAGCAACTCACTGAGCTCATTTCTTGAGGGTATACTTTCCAGAAACTTCTTTTTCTAGAATATCCTTATCCTTTAGATTTAAAGAGAAATTTTATTGTACAGTTCTGTGAGTTCCTGTCAAGATGTGTTGTTCAGGTGATGGGGAGGTGGTATGGCATGCTCTATTTCAAACACTAATTGAATACAAATAGCTTCTCTCCATTAATAACATCTACTGTGTAATGCCCATAGCCTTCTCAGTAATATGTAACCAATCAGCAAGGGATTTTTTCCAATTGTGATAATTGCTTAATAAATGTATTTCAGTTAATATTTTTTTATTTATTTCCTATTTCCTTAATTGATGTTTTATTCTCATCAACGCATATTTCACTATTTGAGTGTGTAATAACGAAAGACTACTCTTAAATTTATGTTTACAGCTCCTTCATTAGCAAAAGAATCATGTTAGAGTATTTCATATTTCAAAAGAATTCAAATATTTCCTAATTTTGTACCCCTATCTTTCAAACATTCTTAGGGTGCTTTTCATCGTTTAACCATTAATAACTGTACAAAAACATCAAAACGATAATTATTTGAGAAGTGTTGTACATCATTTGAGCATAATATCACAATGATGTAGATACACAAGCGCCATGTCGGACCCACATTTTATTAATGATGAAATTAGGCATTTGAAAGATCGTTTATTGTAAAAGATTAGAGAAACTATTCAGACAACTCTGACAGAATTTACTCATGTTATCGATTATAATCAATGGAAAGGCACGTTTGAAAGTAATTTGTTTTAGTTACAAATGCTACAATATACCGATTATAGGGTTATATGAAGAGAAATTTTTTTGAGGTATTTCAGAGAGGAAGACCCATTCCCCCACCAAAAACAAAGACACTCCCTCTCATACCACCGAAAAGATAGCAGAGAGCCATAAGCGACAAACCCATACCATTCACACCAGGAAATTCTCATCTGACTTTTCTGCCACGGGTGTGTATAAACCTAACAGGAGGTTTGCCGACGTGATCAGTGAGTGGAACATCCATACAAAACTCTTGCCCAAAGTGACACTGACATCACAAGAGGGCAGAATGACATAAATTTGGTCTACCTGATCAACATGTTGACAAACTATATCGTGCCGCCCAAAACACGAATATCATAGTGTAGTCTCGACTTTGCCCTTCTAATACAAAAAAACAACAATTTTCAAAGAAATTTAAAACTCAAACAACCAATTGAAAATTGCATCTGAGATACACAAACTGAGCTAAACTCTGTCAGAAGAAACCTTCATTTGTGATGTCCTTCT